AACGCTAAAACCTATGTTTCCATTGAAGAATATTGTAAAAACGTATAAATTGTTATATGCAATGTTATAACAAATTGTCGGAAGTATAAATTTTTAATAAAATTGTGAAAATTGATAAATTATACCGTGTTACGATATCGGAAATCTCCCGCGAAAATCTCCCGCGAAAATTTCCCGCCTGACCTAACCGACGATTTTGCTAATGACTTTGGGGAGAGGGTACCGCAGGTATATAAGGACCCGCCGATGTCCCGCGAAATCATTTACCCTTTATACTGGGCCCTAGACACTTCGCGGCGTATTTTGACCTGAAGGTTCTGAGATGTGAATAGAGTGGTCGGGGGCTACTAGCTAGTCTATGTCCACCCTGTACACACTCAGCCTTCTTGTAACACTTGTATACATTAGAATCAATTAGAATTTCTATTACTAATTATTAAACAAATTTTAACAATTACCGGCACTCGCTAGGCACGTAATATCAGACTTTAAATACTCGACTTCGAACTTCGGTTTAGTCATAATTCTATTAATGTTATAATAACGTATAATTTATTAATTTTCACAATTTTATTATTAATTTATACTTCCAAAAATTTGTTAAAACATTACATATTATTATTTATACATTTTTGCAAGTTTCTTTGACAAATAAGTACGTTTCAACGATCTTATTACTTTCTCGTTGTGAAATCAAGTTCGGAGGATTAAAAATCAGGTTGACCCTTGGTCGTAAATTTAAAATAGCCATAGTGAAGGTGAAATTATTATTTTAAATAAATGTTTCTATACGAATTAAGAATCTATTCAACGTTTGTTTGTTGCAATACCGTGAAATAAATTGTATTATATATTTTCTCAGTTTAGACTGAATTTAAAGTTCGTAAGGATTAGAAATCAGGTTGACCTGTGGTCGTAGATTAAAAATAGCCATAGTGAAGGTAAAATTATTACGTTAAATAATTGTTTTTATACGAATTAAATATTGATTCAACGTTTATTTGTTGCAATACCGTGAAATAAATTGTATTATATATTTTTTCTGTTTACACTAAATTTAAAGTTCTGTTTACATGTTATAACAATTAGAATGTAGACGTTTTGCCGTTTCACGGTTTTTCCTCTGTTAATTATGTGTTTATAAATCATTTCAAACTAAAGCAGCACCATGCCCACCCTTAATTAAACCGTCTCAGTAGTTTACCGTAATTAATAATCTATTTTCGGAATTTATACGAGAATTTTTGAATTTTAGTAAATACTAGAGTCAGTGCATCGCGTATTGAAATAATAGCTTCATCCCTAGTTCGTTTATTATTGAATATTTTTACGCGTTTAACTTATGCTTCTCCCCAATTCTCGTCGCGTATTTTATTCAAATTTTCTTATATTCTAGAATCGAGAAAGATATGAATTCGCGTTTTTTCTTTTGATTCTTTCAATTTTTCAATTGCATTACGCATTATTGCAATAATTTCTATCGTTACATTTAATTCTAATTGTTTAGCAGCTTTTCTGCTGCTATCGACCCTACATTTTACTGACACTTGTCGAATCGACCCTACATTTTACTGACACTTGTCGAATCGACCCTACATTTTACTGACACTTGTGGAATCGACCATACATTTTTTTTTTTACGTGGAGGTAGGCCGACTCTTTGTGATAAACAATTGGCAAGCAAACGGTGGCTCGCTAAAGCGATATATTATGAAATTAAATTAATCACTTAATAAGTTTTAACGTTAGATTGTTTCCTCGGTATGGCCATGGTGGTCATCAGTGAGTGCCTCAAATGTTTAGAATAATTAAAATAAAATAAATGCTGTCAACTAAAAATTTTCATAGCTAGCTAGACATTATTTTCAATTGAAAAAAAGAATTATAAAGCATAATACTATAATCCTATGCTTAACATGTATTTTCTTGTGGCCGCCTGACAACAACCTGTAAATCTGGCGTTAATAAGTAAATGTTGTTCAAATTATATCGTGTTCGATATCATCTTCATCAGAAAAATCTCAGCAACAGGTTAAAAAAAATTGCAGATGAAAAGAAGTAAAATTAAAGAAATTATATTTTTCTATTATAATTTGTCGAGCCGTGAAATCTCGTAAAGGAAACCGACTGGTGTAGCGTTACACGCTTGACCGAGTGCGTGCGAGATAACATGGGCGCAGCAATGACGCAGACCTAGGCGTAGGACCATCTATACTGTCACTTGTAGAATCCAAACTCACTGACTCTTGTAGAGAATTTACTGTATACGTGTTCCGACAGAAGAAAAATATGATCGCTGGTTGAACTTTTTATCCGTAACGTAAGTAATATAATTGAAGGCTCTTTCGCCAGGCTGAAATTAAACGGCGAGGATTTCCGCGTTTTCACTGTTACCGCACTCTGCGTACGCATAGGCAGCGGCAACAACACAAGTCGGAAATGATTTACGAGCGTGATGGGCTAAACGAGATTGAAAAAGAACGCTGATAATCGTGGTGTCTCTGTCTTTCACTTGCGCGAACATGTCGTCGGCTTTAATTTAACCGACATACAGTCGAGAATGCCTCGTGGAAATATTCGATCGATTTCGTGCGAAGAAGTCTGTTTTTTAATCGTTGCACCACGATCGAGAGAGAACGAAAGGTTCGGAAAGTTGGTCGAATCGTGGCTTCCTATTCATTCTGATTCCTCCTCGTTCATAATGAGCCGCCGATACTTATAAGAGTTCCTACGTAAACCACGCTCTGAATCTGAACGTGTAATTGAACTTCGACCTTGGTTCGGTATCGATTACGCGGATGTAAATGACTCGTGTGAAATCCAGCCTCGTCTCTGACGTAACCGTCACGAATTATGGTTGTCACCTATGTGATCGAGAAAAGTGAAATATTTGATGTGTGAATTTTTTCGATGTGCTGATTGCCGCGAAACTCGTTGAATCTGCCCAATGGGTAAACAGTTCTATTCTTCTAGCGTCTTCCGAGGATAAAAAGAATTTGCAAGAGATTGTTACGACTTAGTAGTTCGCGTAGGTGCGAATCGTTAAAGCGTTACACAAGGTTACCGTGGCGAGTACACGCGCGCTATGACGAGGCCGAAACTAACAATGAGAAACTGATGCACCTAGAATGCAGGGAACCGCGACAAAAAGCACGCATTTGTACGCGAAAAAGCGCATCAATTACTTGCACCGTGCTTCCCTCGAACGCGACTGCACTTCGTTTCGAACGTGCACACGGAGAAATACAAATTGAGCTTATCAAGTGAGACTGGTGAATTTTGGACGCACTGCGACTTTTAAACGATCCGAGGTGAACCAAGATCGTGACAGTAGAACCCTTTGAATTAAAGTTTTCAATTATTTCTATTTTGAAATATTCAAATTTTCGTATCCTGAAATTTGGAATGCTCAACGCATTCTCCATATACGACATTTTCTTTCGTAATTGCCTCGGTACTCACACCAAAGCACGACCCTACCATGCGCACATTCATACACGTGTTCAAAGTGTGACGCAACGAACTCACACGGTGCGTAGTACCAGCCGCCATGGAATTACGAAAACTTGATGGAAATTGTACGGAAATCGGGCGTACGTTTAAGATAACAATTCCCCTGTTGAACCACCAGTGTTTCGACTCCGTCTTATGTCAGCGCTATTAAATCGGGGAGTGTTCTCACGTGCGTTTCGAAGATGAGAATACGCGAGAAAGTTGACGCAACGTGTGATCGAAATGAGTAAGTGAATACGGGAAATCGGAAAAACGGTTTCGCTGCGACAGAAAAGAAGCGGAAGGTCAAAGTTAACATCGACCGCCGTCCATGATTGTATATCGAGTTATATTAAAGCACCGCATCGCAGACACCAACGTTCACCCTCGAGGTTTGCACGTGTGCACTCCGAATGCGTCATAAGTTTGTCGCAGCGATCATTTCCCGACACGTCGCAATCGATCGAGACACGTTGAAATGTTCCTCGATCGATTCGGGCACTCCGAAAGGAATAGGTTTTTCGTAACCACTATTGTTGTGTAACGCCTCGAAACATTCGTGGCAACGTGTACGAATGATTTCGAGACACACAAAGTATGTACATAATCGTCACGCGTTCAGAGTGTCTACAACATTCGATAGACTCGGGTCAAACATGCCAACACAAGTCTGGCCAGCTAATTAGACGTTCGAATTCAAATGAAATCCACGTTCCGTAAAACTAATTGAAACTTTGTTCGATGCAACGGATCAGGTGATTTTTTCTTCTAAAGAAATTACCTATCGCTAGCGGATAAGCAAGATTTTTCTATCCAGGTTAACGATTAAAAGCTCGGTTCGAAACGAAAGGAAAAATAAAATTGAACGCGACGATAGTGATACGTGCTTGATGATTTCGCGTTTTGCCTTACGAAAGACGATTTTTCGAAACAGCTAAGCTTTTCTCACGCGTTCCTCTATTCGATGTTCCTAACGTCTGTCCACCTTACCAACGAACGATCGCTTGATAGTAAGTAACCTTAAAGGGCTCTGTACATTAGGAATAACCAGACAAGTCCAAATTTGAAGGTACATATATCGCGTGGCCTGAGACGTGGTATACGCGTTAACCGTGTGCTCTCTCTCCTCCTTTCGCGATACAATACACCTACAATAGGCCGTTTATGCGGCCACCGCGTTACCCACACATGTCACGCCAGGAAATCGCGCTCGATCATCTCACTGGTAGTTACAACGTAACCCTTTGAGGGTGGACGAGCCCGAGAAAAAGCACAAGGTTCGCAATATGGTACGTGATGCAGGTGAATAACATGGTGTCCCTTTGTGGCCACACGCAACACATGCACTAACATGTTCGCGAATACAGAGTTCGTTTATGTGACGCACGTACAATGCGGCGAACAGAGAAAGAGAAGGAATATTTCCGTCTCTGTTCTCCCTCGGGAAAGAGAGAACAGAAACTAACTGTCACACGAAGAAAGGCATAGAACGTAATGGTTCTACTCACCGATTTGTAGTATCACGCGAGGTAGCACGATCCACCGAGCCTGGAGTCGTTCCCGTGGGTCAAATGATCCTGACCAGCTCCATGGTTTTTCCTCAAACTATCGACGCACCCGCGAATTTGTTCCTCGCCGTCACGGCTTCTCTGTCACGGTTTACACACGAGGACCAAAGGAGATTGTCCTTTCTGCGTGTAGCCTCGACGAGAGAGATTTGACGGCTGCAAAACTCCAACAGCACCAGCACTTACGGCCACCTCGAAGGTCTGTTGCCAACTGACCCAGCCAGTGACAGCTCTCCGCGAGCCACCACGCTCACCAACGCTTGCACGAGAAAATAACTGCTCGATTCTTGAAAGACGTTGCACGACGAGCCTACCTGAAACCGAGCAACGCCTTTTATGTAGAAAGACTCGTAAATACCAAGGACTTTTTTTTGGAAATCATGTATTATCGAACTTTGTTTGATGTTACAGGGCTTGTAACAGGCTCTATTGTTAACGATATAGCACAATATACGACACTCGAAGAATGCATTCGAAGAAAGGATAACGATTGATATTATTTGCATTTTTTTGTTCTATATAGAGATCGATCTGGAGTGTTCAGTACTGGCTAAATAAGTAGAAAGCTAAACTTTTCGGTACTGATATTTTTTTAGACGTATATTATGCTTTAGAATCGACGTTACGCGAAATTAAAAGGACTGGGAAAAGGATCGTCGAGGAATTTCGTTTGTGAGAGTTGGCTGCAATGTCGATCATATGGCAATCAGCTGTAATTCACATTTCTTCAATGAACATATGCTTGTACTTGATTTAGGCAATATATATTGAAAACAAATTAAATTAATTAGCATTATTTACCCTACGTTATTCGTGTCTTCTGTGACTTCGTATTTTATCAACGATATTGCATAATAATATCGCTGATATAATACACATGACTGCATCGTTCAAACGCGTTTGAAATCTCTGAACAGGGTATTTTAGCATCAAGGTTAATTGATGTAATGGTTTATTATTTGACAGTTAAATGAGATCAAACTTGGGATTAAGCAATTAAAAAGCACGAATCTTATATCGATTACAATTAACAATAAATCGAACACAGGATTCGAGACTTTTTAGAATCGACAGAAAACACGGTTTTCTTTTTTAATAAAAATCTTATCGTTTTATTAATTCTATCAATACCTAATGCTTAAGAAAAATCGAATACAACTTATTAAATGTATCTGATAAGTCGTTCGTGTGTTTTTTAACCATTATATTGAACAGAAGAATGTAAATGTCTATGAAATACGTATATTGCTGTCATTTAATCAATAAACGTTTTATTTACAGATGTTGACCATTTCTTAGTATCGGGGGCTCGAAATATATTTCGGATGGTATACTAATTGATAATATCAAAATTATGCCTTGATAAGAACATGGTGTGCACGATGCGTGTTTTTCATCAGTCTTAACTGGATCATTTTTTGCCAGATTTCTTTATACCACCCGTGACGAGGGGACCCCTTTGACTTGCTTTTTTTGCAGCTTCAGCAAGTGCTTTCTGTTGCTCCTTTTGCTTCTGCTTAAACGCTACATCTTCGTCGTCCAACAGTTTTGGGTCCTTTTTCGGTGCCTTCAAAGGCTTTTTCTTACCGCCGTCACGACCAGACATTCTACAAGTACAGTCTTCATTTTACGCGATATTTTTAAAGTGATCAACTAAATCAGAAATTTATTTGAATTTGAATGCAACATAAAGAAAAATCATAGCAGAGGAAACATTGGTTTCGAATGAAATGCTTTACTTCAACTGTTTACATCGGGATACAATCAAATATTTCAACGAAATATAACCTATAAAATGTCTACCATACACAAAGTAGCAAGTTTTCGAAATTTATAAGAAGAAAATACTATACAGTTCAACTATAATATACCCAAACTATTTTTATCAAATGCAATGAATTAATTTAATACGGACAAAGTTGAAAACTACTTCGAAACCAATGTGACAACGTGTGGAATACAATGAAACGCAATTGGAACGAGACCAATGATAAGCTACATTAATTGAAATTAAGCAACGCTACTGATTTTTTACCTTACAGTACAGTCAAAATTTCCAAATAAGAACACAGATTATCCTAAGAATTTATGTGCCAGAATAAAATACTTTTGTACTGGAGTAAAGTTTGGTTACCACGGCTAAAGATGGAATGTCGCATGACATTAAATCATCACGTAGCGGCACACTCCTGGCACAATACAACCAAAGATAAAAGTTCCTAAACATAGTTTTAAGTTGGTAACACTTAAGTTCTAGTCGGTAAAGTAGATTACGCTCTAGGATAATGCAGTGTTAAAGCCCTAGTATATACGAAATACGATAACGTATTGTATAAAGTCAAAGGAAAAATAGATCTCCCGTTTCGCCATATTGGTATAAAACTGGTAAAAAAAAAAAGAAAAGAAAATATGGAAAACCCAAAAGGAAGAGGCGACCTCCGAAAAACTAGAAACGAAGACGCTGCGGAAATCAGCGCAAACGACTTCCGCCGCCTTGGTACCGTCTCATTATAATCGACCGCGAGACGGGCATCAAATTCTTAATAGATACTCAGGCAGAAATATCGGTGATCCTTAAATCAAGCAAGAAATTTCACTAAAAAACCCGTTCGTTCAAACTTCATGTAGCAAACGGTAACGCAATAGGTACTTACGGCAACAGAACTTTAGACCTACTAACATTAGCGAACGATTTACAGTAGCGAATGTTTCGAAATCTATAAGCTACAATAGGCGCAGATTTTTTACACCACTACAACCTACTAGTAAACTTTGTTTTTTGTTTTCTCTTACATGAGGGAAATCTTGCATAGACACTCTCCTGGGGGGAGAGGCAGGGTGGTGTGGGATTCCTACCCACTAAAACCCCCATGGCTACCCTAACTGCAGTATTACAAGTGATCTGTGGAAATATACCCTTAGACTTAAAAATAAATGCTCCCTATTTAAAAGAGGATCAGATTGTAAAGGATACAAACACATTATATACAAATTACTCTCACCTACCAAAAAGGAAACTTATAGCAAATCAGTCTGCTCTGGAAGACTTGACAAAGTATGCAGCTGAGATACATCTGCTGAGAGTAGAACTTCATACATGAAAATCAATGCTGAACACTTAAAATTCCAAGGAAGAACAGGAAGGGAAACGACGATGGAAATGACGACGGTAGCCACCACCTGATACAGAAATAAAAATCATGTCAAATTAAATAAAAGCAGTAAAACAAAATAAAGCAAAGGAAAGTAGATAACCAGGTCGGCCGCAATGTGGCAGGGGCGAAAAAGGGCAGGAAACGGGAAAGGATCCTGACGGCTATAAGACCTGAAACAAAAGAAAAGAGGAAAATAATTAAAGAAATAATAAACATGTATACATGAAACGAAGACAAATACAAAATAAAATAGAACCAGAATAAGTCTAAAATACCAAGAAAAGAGAAGTGAAACAGAGATGAATCAAGGCGGAAAATGAGCTGACGCTCGAAGGCCGCAAAATGAATAAGAAAACAAATGAAAAAAAAAAAAAAAATACATCCAAGGATCACCGAAAGCCTGGCATCCTTTTTAGTAATTTTTATGTACTAGGGCTTGAACTCTATATTATCCTGGAGCGTAACCTACTTTGCAGACTAGAACTTAAGTGCTACCATCTTAAAACTATGTTTAGGAACTTTTATCGCTACATTTAAGAGGTCTATGCTACCATCTATCGATGAAATCGAAAGATATTTCGTACTTGCTACCAGAATAAAAAATTCATTTAAATTTATTTACGTTGAGATTTGTCTTATGTAAAATTAGATAAGATTAAGACATAAGAGCTTTAAATGAAATGCAAAATCGGAAATGCACCTTCTTTTAATTACATTAAATTAGCATTCCACGTCTTTGGGATTGTGCCCCTACTTCGTTTACGTTCTAAATATCAGCTTTTTATCTATCAGGAATATTTTGAATGGGAAAATTCAGTGATTTATATTACATAGTGTTGAAACCTGAGTTATAATTGTCAGTGTTGAAAATGTATTTAAACTTGAATTTAATTGCGGCAGCATGCGAGGGCATGGGTATTGGCGTGAAAGGAAGTTTACCCTGGAAACTAAAGTAAGAAATATTAAATATTACACCATGAATTACGTATGCTTCTGTCTTCCAACTCTTTCATCACGTGATTATAGAAGTGAAATGGCATTCTTTACGAACATGACAACAAACACGAAAGATGAAAATAAAAAGAACGTTGTTCTTATGGGGCGAAGGACGTGGGAATGTATTCCAAATAAATATAGACCGCTAAAAAACCGAATAAGCATAGTTCTAACCTCACAACCTTTGTAAGATTTATTGTTATCGGTAAGAAAAATAACAGATCGAGAAACGTATATAAAAACTGTTAAATATGTAGGGATTACGAAGAGGATATAATTGTGTGTAAAAGCATTCCACACGCTTTGGAAATTATTAAAAAACCTCCGTTAAAGGATCAAGTGGAAAGTGTATGGGTTATAGGCGGGAGTTCTGTGTACAAGGTACATACCATTTACGTAAACTGTAAGATCTTAAGTGTAATTGATCTGTACCTTTGAATTTTAGGCTGCAATGGAATCTCCGCACTTTCATCGGTTATATTTAACACGAATAAAACAACATTTTGATTGCGACACATTTTTCCCACCTATTCCTAATGATTTTATTTTAACAAGGTACTTTTTTTTTCTTCGAAAGATTATGTAATTACGTGCATTTTTTTTTTATTTTTTTTTTGTTTTAGAGATGAAAACATTCCTCAAGGTGTTCAAAAAGAAAACGATATAGAGTTCGTGTACGAAGTGTACACAAAGGAGAAAATCCCTTCTTCTTATTAAAAGTTACTTGTCATTCTCGAAAGATTATACATACAATGTTAAACTAAAACAGTTGTACACAAGTTGCAGGTTTCTCAAATCTTTATTTTTGACAAAAGTTGTATTTTTATAAGCGCAAGTTATAACTGCATGTAACGTTGTATCGAATAAAATAAAATTTCTTAACCTGGAGGCCACATCATTTGACGACCACCGAGGACATGCAGATGCAAATGGTAGACCGACTGTGCACCGTTTTTGCCGTCATTAATGACTAAACGAAACCCGTCGTCGAGACCCTGTTGCTTCGCCAGTTTACGAGCAACAATCATTAAATGACCCAGTAAAGCTTCGTCCCCATCCTCAGCTTTCGAAAGTTGCGGAATTGGTTTTCGTGGAATCACCAGAAAATGCACCGGTGCTTGACCATTAATGTCTTGAAACGCAACGCACTAGCACATTAAAAATTTGTTTAATGTCACGACCGCGATGACGAAATAAACGATATAAAAATGTTTGGAAAATACGAAACGTTTCTACGTAGTACCAATCATTGGCAAGAAGAAAGGACGAGAAATATTATTCGTAAATGTCGTCAAAAATAAAACACAAAGATAGCGAAGTAAGATTAAGATACCGAAGTTACAGTATGTTATTCAACAAAATTATGGCTCTGCGATATCGTATAATGACCGTTGGAACACGACCAGCCGGTAAATAACCTCGTTAAAAATTCTCGTAACGAAAATGAAACATTTGAAATTTGAAAATCGTATATTTCCAATTATTTGAAAGAATTTACCTGATCGTCTTCGTAAATGAAATTACACGGTATTTCTTTACGTATTATTTTCCCGAAAATAGTATCACCTCCCGAAGCTGCTGCTTGTGCTTTTTCAACCTCGGTCGCCATTTTTCTCCAGCATGGAGTGCGATTTAGTAGACTGTCATTCACATAGGATAATCGTTTAGAAGAGGTGACCGCAAGATTCAAGAGGAATCTCATTTCTGATGTTTTCGAAATTCTTTCGTCTATAAAATCGACCTCTACTACCGCAAAGTCATTACTGATTATTTCGTGCGATTAAGAGTGCAGCATTCAGGCTGCCATGTTGCAAACTATAAATGGCGGGTCAATTCGAATCGTAGGAAAGATCACGTCGTAATAATTGGCGTTATCGTTGATTCGTCGACCAGCGTTTAATTTTTCTACCTAATTCATCAGTTCAAGAACAGTTTCGATATATAAAATTATAAAATCTTTATTTTGTTGTACAGTCTTTTTCAAAGGTCTTCCACACGCTTCTTTACAAACTGCGTAATTAGGTGTATATAAATATTGTTCGTGAAGTTAAGGTTTATACACATACTGAACATAAAATACATTATTAAACGCTATTAATTGTTTGCTTTACATACATATGGCAGTGTACTTTCTGGTTTTCTTTGCGGAAGATCCTATATCTTTCCGACGAAACTAACGGGTCAATAAGTACCCCAGTCTTACGAGAATAACGCTACTTAATAGTACACTTATCGTTAAAATTTAATTACATAGAAAAATGGATTACGAATATTTCAGCGACTTTGGAAGGCACACCTAGTTAATCGTTACACGAAATGATTTTTGGTGCGCGTTCATGAACCTATTCGTGCACACTAGAAAATACATGTATTCCCTACCGATAGCTGAGAGGTACAATAAAGTAAATGTAATAAAACGCCGATACAGCTAGATCTTTCGCAGTATCGTAGAAACAAAAAAACAAAAAATCATAAAAAATACTTAAATAAGACCTTACTTAAATAAATAACGTGCCGATAACGTTACCGTTAAATCTACATTAACGATGGGAATTACACGGCCGTCTAAATAAATCAAAGAACTGTTAACTCGCCGTGCATCGTCTAACCACCGTATAGCATAATTAAGTTACGATGATACTCGAAGTAACGCAATGGTGGTATGAATTAAATACGATGATGGTTTCATAAACTGTAGTAAACGTATTTCGCAATTGTAATTTCTAAATGAGAAAAGAATATTTATAAGTCGTGTATAATAGCGTATCGTAATCGTACCTGTAGTAAACTTACACCTACTCTCTATCTGCTTAGAAAAACGAAAAAAGAAAAAAGAAAGAAAAATTACTGGGACGCTCTTACAAATAATACGATTGTGTATTTTTTTTTCTTTTTCTTTTGAATACCGTAACGTCAGTCTGCGAACTTGGAGAAGCTATTTAAAGGGAAGGGGGAGCCATGAGAATACTCGTAAGAAATAATCATCACGAGTCGTCTTCGGCAAAATACCGATGTCTCAAGGCCTGAGCTGCGGTCAATCGTCTATGGGGATCGAACATTAGCATACCTTTAATTACATCTAATCCGTGTTCACTGAGATCAGGTATTATCGCCGCTAAAGGTTTCGGTTGCCTGTAAGGAAACGCTGTCCAACTGAGGGACACATTTTCCGGCCATTCTTCCTGCGACGGGGTTCCTATTACTCTATGGGACAATTAAAATACACCGCTGTTGAAGTACCACGTATTTAGGAAAAAAAACAAATTCGTTGGACGACTCCTCTGTTACAACTTACTGAAAAATCCTATCGAGCTGGTCACCCTCGCTCGTACCAGGAAACAAGGGTTCCAGTTTACTTAATTCCGCTAGAATGCAACCCACGGACCAAATGTCGACCGGAGTCGCGTAAGAGCAGCCCAGAAGTACTTCCGGGGCACGATACCACTGCGTCACAACCTGCGTAAAATATCGATTTTCATACATTTCACCAACACCTACGGAAAACTATCAACTCACCACAGAGGTCAATCTCATCTCGAAGTCGTACGTCTTCGCCAAGCCGAAATCCGCGATCTTTATTTTACCTTCTCTGGATACCAACAAATTCTGAGGCTTCAAATCCCTGTGTATAATCCTATGGCTGTGTAAAAATTCCACACCCTTCAGTATCTCCTTCGACATCTTCCTTACCAGATGAGGCGGGATACCTGGCCGTGGACACGAGGACATGTAAGACGCTAGATCTCTTTCCACGTGTTCAAACACCAACCATAACGTCAGCCCTCGATCCTGCCTCTCCGACCCCCCATCGGCCGAAGGTAAGTGAAGATAGTTTCCTTGGCAAACGTCCAATAATCTCACCTGATGGAAAATAGAAGAAAGATACGAAAGAGTAGGTAGAAACAGAGATTACACCAGGTTCTAGATCTCGTGAAATACTTACAATGTGCGGATGCTCGAATCTCTCGAGCTGTTTCAATGTAGCTATCTCCCTCAACGTGGAGGTAGGCAGACCGTCTTCGGTCAACGGTACCCTAACTTTTTTCAACGCTACCACCTGCCCGGTGTTCAAATCCTTCGCCTTGTAGACGGTGCCGTAAGCGCCGTTACCGATCAAAGACAACTCCTGATACGACGCACCTACGCGCGATTCCAGCAAAGAAGTCTGAATCTGCGCGTCGCTCTCACTTTCCGATCTCCTGCTAGAGCTACCAGAAAGTTCCTCCTGGCCGCTGTACTTCATTTGTACGATCGTTTCGAAGCTGCCGAAGTGTCCCTCCTTCGAGGAGCCAGCCGTAACTTTCCCCGGCCCCTCTAAACTCGTCTGGATCAGCTGTTTCGTACCGTCCAACGATTCCTCGCTGATCTCGAAAGGATTCGTCGTCTCGGAGGAATCTCCCTGGATCAGTTCGATGGTGTTCCCGGATAACGAGGCTGCCACCGAGCTGGCCAACTTCTCCACACTTTCCAACTCCTCCGTGCTCAATTCATGCTCCTTCTCGGATCTTCCTTCGACAGACGCCTCGGCGAATTTCGACTTCTTCGGCGGTGTTGGGGACGACAGGTCAGGTCCGAGCTCTGAGCTCGGACGTCGCGACGTTCCAGCCATCACAACATTTCGATTTTTACCTGAAACCAACGACATTCGGGATTACGACGCTTAAATTTCGAATGCAAATGAAATTTCCGAAAGGAAGAAAAGACAGTGGACGACGGCTCGAAGGGAAATATCGGTGGAGCGTTTCGTTTCCGTTTACCGCGCGCGATCGTGTTGCACCGTCTGCTACGCGACATCTGCACCGACACCTGCGTCCGTATAATAGCCCTGCCTCATCGTCGGCTTTCCAGAACATCTTGTCAAATGTACGAACGGAACCCCTCGGGGTCCTTGCCCTTTGTTTTCTTCCGACGCTACTGACCGACCGCCGCTCACGGTCTCTGTCCAGAATTGTGCTATTTACCTCGTCCAACTTTCCTTCGACGCTACACTATTCCTCCAACGAATCTTTAAAACCTACCAGTTTTCCACACTTCCCACGATTCCTCACCTTTTTCTCTCTTTTCTTCCACGCACGTAACACCGTACGAAGGAGCATTATTTTATTATCACAAATGGGAGGGATACTTATGGGGGGACGACGGGATATACATATGTGGTAGCACAAAAGGAAACGATTACGTCGTTTCATCTGTGTGTATATACGGTGGCGAAACGTCACGCTAACAACAAAGTTGAATGAAGAAGGCGTGAAAGATAATACCCGGGTTGTGTGGTGAGAGAGATACGAAGACCTAGTTTTTGTTGTACCATGCACGATAAAGCGAGGAAATTCGAATAAGGGCCACGGAAACGCCTGGTATTTGAGGTGTCGTAATATTTACATAGATTGGACAGGATGTGATAGAGTATACCTTGTTATCGCCTCCCTAGATTTATTGTACTTTCAAATGGATAAGTCGGCTCTGAGTACACTTTATCATACGGAACCTTTTTGTGAATGGTAACGATAGAGGGTGAACGTCATCGGCTTCGTTCCACGTCTCGATTAACTTCTTTTATCAACTTCCTTTTCCGATAAATCCGAAAAGCTGAACGAGAACGGAGAGCCGTTGCGTCACACATTTAGAACGATGCAAAGCGAAACAGCCGCGCGGCTTTCTAAAGCGAAAACGAACACTTCTACTGTAACGGCGTTGAAACGAATGCTGGTAGAAGGAACACGAGTCTGATTGGTCCGTACCGTAATAAGAACTAGACACTTATTAGCTGCTTTCCTACGTCGTTCCCTTTCGGAGCTACGGTACGAAGCTAAAAAAAAAAAAAAAAGAGCAAAACGAAAGAAGAAATGGTGTGCTATGGGGGACAAATCTTCTCGACGTAACGCTATCTCGAGACCACCTACATGGAACAGTCACGTGTTTACAATGTATCTTTTTAACGAGATAAATGGCCAACGCTCGAATTCACATTTTCCTGGAATTTCTCGAGGGAAGGAAAAAAGAGGCCGGGGGGGAAGAAGTGGAGCGCGATGGCCAACGAAGGTTGCGATAACAACGGGAAGCTTCATCCTCGATAGAAGATAAGGGCGCGTCGTAACGGTCGAATGAAATGCAAAGAATGTAGAAAAGCAAATACCGAAGAGAAGGGAGAGGATCGAGGTGAGAAGCTTGTTTAACGCGGGAATTCGTTTTTCCCCGTGGTAAGCGAACGATTTTCTAACGTTCCTACATTGCCATTGCTCAACCGTGTTACAGTCCCTATCTTCAACTATGTTACACGCGTTAACACTGTTTACGGCGCTGTGTACCACGATAAAGATACCAGTACAATTACAGCGTTTGAACGTTCATTGAATCGCGAAAAGAACCGCATGAATGAACGGACTGGCATCCTCGCGTAAAACGAGACCATGCAACTTATCAATCAGCTCGTTATCGTCGTTACTAATTCCTCCGCTGTTCCGTCTATTATTATTCGATCGGGCGAAATAGAGAAAAGGTTTCGCGGGACGATGGAAAATTGGATACACAGGTCGGAAAGTAATATAGATATTAGGCGAAGATACCGTTGGACATGAAACGGCGCATATAGACGAGGAGAGTAAACACGGAGGCGCCAAGTGGGTTTACAGATTATTCATGGGGTTGAGACACTCCCGTTCACCTCTATTCCTAGACGGAAGGAATTACGATCGATTTGAAATTTAACGTACACGAATTAATTATTGATCTTGAAATTGTAAATCGAAATTGGACGATCTACGGACAAATTGGCGGAGAAAGATCGAGATTCCCCACCACGTGGCTCGCTCCACACGCGATTCGTAAACAAAAGAAACACAGGGGGAAGCACCCCTGCCGGTAGAGTGGTTGACTCTTGTCTTATCTTCACGTGTCGCGACATTCCAGGTTCTCACGTTCCCCAGATACGCTAGCGTAACATAGCCGACGCGTTCTCACGGCGAAAAAAAATCCCATGCGAACGGAGGAGACGTAGGTACTGTCAGTAGCGGGCAAACGTATATCCCCCCGTGTTACGTGTCGAGACGTCTAAAGAAAAAGAGAGAGCCGTCGTTTAATCCCTATTTTTATCCTCGAAGAGAGAGAGAGAAAAAGAAAGAAAAGCAACAAGTGTGTGTCGAAATGACGCGTGAGCGAAAAAGTGCGTAGTTGCATCGCGGTTAAAGCCGGCGGTGTCCAAGAAGGTTATGTGTGTCCCTTCTCGGGAAGGTTTGAACGGAAAGGTGTATGTACTGTGTCTGGTCCGATGAGAGCGTGGTTTCTTCACTTACCCACCAGCTAGGTGCTGACCTCCCACGAGAGAAGCTCGGAGCGATGGCAGCGATGCGCTTGGGAAGAAAAACAGAGTGCGGTACGGTTCCACGTGCCGGAAGCGGTATTAACGAATGCCTCTGTGTACGCGCCACACTCTCTCTCTCTCCTTCGTTTTATCGCACTCGCGTGACCGTATACGAGACGCGGTTTTCACCGACTACTTCTTCTCGGCATGCATACACGCATGCACACCGCTGAAACAGCGGAACAAGCAGGGCAGGGCAAGAGGCAGGATGCACTCGCCGAGAGACGACACTCGCGAACGTTGCAAGGAACGAGGAGGAGGCAGCAAGACACACGGTCGACCACTCGCGAGCGTAACCCAACGGCGACTCGACGAATCGTTGTGCAGCGGAGCGAGCGGCCGCGGTATATACCCAGTCGAATGCTCGATGGTAGAGAGAAGCCGACACTGCACTGTGGACCGACCTGAAAAGTACCGACACGAACGACGGACACAGCCAGAGTCAGTCGTTGCCGAGCCCTCGAGGAAGTAGGCCCGGCTCTCTCTCTCTCGAGAGGGGACCTCGATCGAGCCACGCGTTTTACCATCGACCGACAGCTGCCACCGTTGCTGGCTATAGCCGATAGCCCTTCCAACAACTCTCCTGCCGCCGCACACCGTCCGTATGCACGAGTAGAGGGAGGCTAGACGCCTAAGCGTGTACAGGGAAGCCCACGGATCACTTATCAATTAGTATGCCTAGTTCTCGGAGATCTATTGCCGTGCGATCGTTGGACGGACGATGATTCATGGTGTTACGACGAATATTCCTCCGATTCGAGACGCTGTTTGTGTCACGGGTGAGAAGAAATTATTCCGTCATTTCCTGGTCAGGTTGAACGAAAGTGGGACGAACAACGCTGATTAGAATTTCGACGTACCTACGGTGGTATCTCTGATCAATTTCCCCGAGGATCCGCATAGAAAAGCGACATTATCCACGGGCACAGAGGCACTTGTCACTTGACACACTCGTCGATTAACCGAGCAAAAACGCTTCGAAGCCAACACCACGTGCTCCTCTCTCCCCAGGTTTTCTCACGTTGACTTGCCGATTGTCATCGCGAGTGCATCACGTCGAGGGTCGTTGTTCCTGTCGGTGGCGCCAGACAGCGCTGGTCCTCGCCGAGGTGTCCCGGTTATCCGGCTCTTTCTCTCTCTCCTGTGTCCTCCGATCAGCGTCCGTCGCGCGTCCCGAAACATGAATGGAATGCTTCCTCCGGCGGACGATGTACGCGAGAGGCGACGGCTCTCGAATGGAATGGGCTTGGGAGACTCTCCGGTCCAGGGACGGCCGTTTTATCGTCGGAGCCCTTCGTAGGGTGAATTCACGCCACTCAGGTCGCTTCGGCGCCCCTTCTTTCCACCTTCCAATTCTTTTCCAACGATCGATACTCAACCCTTCGTTCAGACGCTGTTTCGATCGAGCTAGAGTTCCGTACGACTCGGAAATGGTCAGAAACACGTAACGAAATTTTCCTGGATCTTTTCCGCCAGGGGAAACTGGTACAGATAGGGTTGAACACGATTCTCTGTCTCCACTCGTGCGGTGGACGCTCGTCTCCGATCCTACAAATTCAGGGTTAGCTGTACGTGATTGGAATTGTGAAAAAGATAGGTCTGTGTTCTCGCGGGATCGCAGGATCCGGTTGAAATGCTGGCGCATAACGTAGCGTGTGTCCGCCGTTTTTGCGTTTCCTTCTTCCATCTTTCGACGGATGTAACACGGCCCATTTAGCCGCTCGATACACACACAGGCGCGCGCGTTCCACGCCGCGGGCCTTTTTTCTAATTAAGCGATGTTCGGCGTGGCGATCAAACGAGACGTCACTGCCGTGTGTGACTAAGAGTCGGTGTACGGTAACGGTTTGCGCGAACCGTGATTAAAGGTAGCATTTTTCGTAGATGCGTCTACAAACGTGATCCTCGGATGCTACATGAATCAACGTTACGTTCAAAAACTGTCACGAACGTTTTTAGCCGTGGTTCCACGTGTGACTAATTGAAAGGTTGCAGGTAGAAACGATATTTCCTCGAACCGTTTATGAATCATCCCTGTTTCCCGTTCGCTGAATCACTCGATTATTACAGCGAGCGTGGCTCGATGGAAAACTAATAGGTTTTACGATGCGGTTGTTAACGTGGATACGTGGCGAAGGAAAACACGGTCACGTTTGGAGTGGAAGGGAGGAGAGTTCCGTTAGGTGCCGTATAACTAGAATTTCCATGTACAAAGTAGGTATTGTGCAGTCCTCGGGATGGACGTCTTCGGCCACCTTTTGGGAAAACCGGCCTGCGCGTATACCTGGCACACGTCGAGGAGTGTAAAAACTGTCAATTTTTCTATTTATTCTCCGCGAGCGAAATATTCTTTCGAACGTATTAATCGTCGCCCTGACCACCTGGAAACCATGTGCACCTGGGAAGCCCTTGCACAGAGGCTCGCGCATACTACTTTCGAGGCGAACACATAGAAACCGAGCACAATGAACCGATTGTACACCCGCTCGAACCGCAGAACGCTACGGAAATGTGCATTCCGGCCTCTTATCATTCGCTCTGCAACATCGTATCGACCCTGTCGGCCGTTCTCGAATCGCTAAAAATAATCCCGACCTTTTAGACAGCTGTCATAACTACCCCGGCCATCTGTGCAATAAAAACTATCAAACTATCGCGTTTATCGTACTCGATAGCCGCGATCCGTGTTAACCCTTTGACACTGTACTTGCCTAGCTGTTCCTTTCGAAAACTTTCCAAATCAAAAATCTAACACCTATCCGACCCTTCGCCGTTCCAAAGCAATTAGAATCTCGGTGAAAATGCGAGCGAGTCGGATAGGTTGATTTTCATCCGTTTCCGGTGAAGAAAGGGACAACTACGGTTGCCGTTTCGAACGGTTTGAAAAATCGGTGCGATAACGGGGGAGACGAGGTTGAATAAATAAAAAACAAAAAGGCGGGCGGTGTTATAACCGGTCGCGGGTACGATGAACCATTCGCGACAGGGTCCCCGGAACGACATAGGAACGGGACATTCCGTCGGTGCGCGTCGTTAATTACCACTTTCACCTGGAGCTCTG